ATCATATGCAGCTTTTTGTTTGAATTAACATCTCCAAAAAATAAAAACATGGAACTAGTTTTCTTGAAGAAATTGTGCACATATTTGGGTAAAATGGCACCCCTAATCCAATAAACAATTGTATTTTGTATAGTAAACTTCAGATATTGAAGCCTACCAGCAAGGGAGAGAAGATTAGCTTTGCAACCGCTAAACTTCTTGTTCAAGCTATCCATTAACGACAAATAGTCTTCAATTTTGAGTCTATGAAAAGAGAGGGGAATACCCAAATATGTAATTTTAGTAGCTATGTTATGAATGGACAAAGCCTGACAGATAACATGTTGATTGTTGAAATGCTTTGGGAACATTATGGCACTCTTGTCATAGTTAACATGAAGACCGGAGAGTATAGCAAAGTCATTCAGAATGGAAACCAACAAGTTGCAGTTCTCAAGAGTGGCTTCTCCAAATATGAAGACATCATCAGCATAAAGCAAATGAGAAATAGAAAATTCATTCGAACATATCCCCTTGAAACCTCTATCCTCAAGGAGATTGGAGAAAGCATCCATAGCCAAGCAAAATAGATAAGGACTAATGGGGCAGCCCTGCCTAAGTCCCGCAGCAGAGGGGAAGTAGCCCTCAAGAGCACCAGATAGTAAGACAGAGAAGTTGACATCACAAATACAAGCTTTGACCCAACTAACAAAGCAACTTGGAAAGTATTTCTGAATAAGTCTAGCTATTAAAAAATCCCTGGACACTGAGTCAAAAGCTTTCTTTATGTCCAATTTAGCAGAAAAAAAAAATTTCTTTTTCCTTTTTTCCCCGAGTGATACAAAATATCAGAAGTAAGCAAGATATTATCCGTGGAAAGTATGGATTTAAGGAAGCCAGCTTGATTATCCTTAACAATGTGTTCATGACCGATTTAAGTCTAACAGCAATGACTTTAGCAATAATTTTATAAACCACATTACACAGGGCAATGGGTCTATAATCTGAAATATTGGCAGCATTAGAGTGTTTAGGTATGATAGCAAGAGCTGTAGCTTTAACACCATTAGGCATGTAACACTTAGTGAAAAAAGATTTAATAGCTCTACAAACCACCGGCCCTATGATATGACAACTAGACTTATAGAAATAGAAATTGAACCCGTCGGGTCCAGGAGCAGAATTGGAGGATCCCATAAAAACCGCAGTTTTAATTTCCTCATCCAGAATAGGGGAGCTTAGAATCGCATGATTGCAGTCCGGAACAGTAACACCAATAGGAATAGCATCAACAACCATATTATGGGGGGGATGAGGATTGCATAATGCTTGAAAATACTGAATAATAGATGAAACAATCTCAGCTCTATTAGAAGAAGGACTGCAAGAGAAGATATTGATAATAGAATTTTTGCTACCCATACGACTCTTGATTTTAGCATATAAAATTTTAAGATCGTCTTCCCCAAATTTAAGCCAATTAACCTTGGCCCGCTGTATAATCCATGAAGCATGAAGTCTATTAAAGTTAACGAGCTCAGTGTTACAATTTTTATAGGCCATGTTAAGATCTGCATTTCTATGGTCATGTTGCATTTGTTCCAGCAAAGAGCTTTGATTATTGAGAAGATAATCAATGTGTCTAGAAACACTATTAGAAGAAGCCCAATATTCCTTTTTGATAGCACTCTTCAGCATCCTAAGAGTGATACAAAGATGAGAAAGTGGATTTCCAGAACATGGCCTAGAAAAAACCTTTAAAAGTATAGACCAATAAAAGTCGATCTTGGTCCAATAATTTTTGAAAAGGAATCTGTGAAAAGCCTGCATAGCATTCCCAGGGTGTAAAATAATAGGACAGTGATCCGAGCAGGAAGGGCTTTGGATGGAGCAAAAAGAATCAGGATACGAGTTTCTCCAGACATCATTCACAAGCACTCTATCCAACTTAATGTGGATAGGGTTATCTATATGTTGATTATACCAAGTGAATTTGCCACCAACAGAGTTAAGATCCTCCAACCCATTGAGGAAAATGAAGTCATTAAAATCTTTCAGAGCAGATTGAGAGAGAGAAGAGCCGCCAAGCTTTTCGTTTGCATATCTACAGCAATTGAAATCACCAATAATAGCCCAAGGAAGATTACTCTCGGGAGCATCAAGAGAAAGAGAGTTCCATAAATCCTTGCGTTCAGACATACTGTTAGAGGCATACACAACAGATAACTCAAAGAGAGGTTGATTAGAAATAGAAATCAAACCATAGATTAATTGAGAATTGATGACATTAGGGATAAAAGATAATTTGGAAGCATTCCACTTCACCCATATCCTCCCCGAAGCAGAAAGAGCAAAATTGTTGCAACTAGACTCATTAGTAAATAGAGAGTGAGTATTTTCAAAGAGCAGGTCCGCAAGAGATTGGAGTTGTATTCCGTTCTCCAAGATACAAACTAAGTCGAGTTTGAAGGACTCAATGAGACGCCGATAGCATAAAACTTTATCGGGACGATTAAATCCCCTAATATTCCACACTGCCAATGGTGGAAAAGACATCAGGAATTCTGCTTCGATAGGGTCTTTTTACCCTGCTTCCCTTTAGCAGGTTTTTTGGCTGTAGTAGTATTGTTTTGCTGAGATGATTTTCCCAAATCTTTAAGCTTTTCCTCCTTATCCACCTTTTTAGAAATCAAAATCACATTGTCAGCGGAATCACCAGAGATAACCATATTTTCCTTGACATCACCCTCTAAGTTTAAAACATCAAACTTATTAGGGGATACAAAATCTTTCCCTGCGGACTTAGATTGAGTTTGAAGGTTTGTGGATGAAGAGGAAGCAGTAGCATTGGGGGAGTTTAAGTTTGGAATTCCCAGATTAAATGAAACCCCAGAATCAGGAATGTCATTCCTAGGAGGCTTCACAACAATCGCATCAGACCAGTCAAGCATTTTATCGGATGGAGGGGGAGAGTGCGGCTGATAAAGAAGGGGTTGACCTGTGACTATAGACGGAATGATGTGAGTATTTGTGTTAACAGGAAGATTAGGTAAGACAGGTTCCTGAGAGCTAGTAGAAGGTACAGGTAACTTCTCAACATAGTTGGTTTTGGAGGGAGCCCGAAAACGGGGCTTCTTGCTAGCACTCCTACCCCTGTTATTATGACTTTCTTTACCTGCTTCCTTCCCTTGTTCATTTGAAGCAATCACAGTATTTTTCGGGCAAGAGTTAGAGAAGTGCATGAAAGACTTACAATGTTGGCATGGAAAAGGGCGCCATTCGTATTGCATCCTCAAGCTTACCACTTCCCCATCCAGCGACACCTGAATCGCCTTCGGATACGTAGCATGGCAGTCAACCAGAACACAAATCCGAGCGTAAGTAAGACGGGTTTTCTGCTCCGTCAGGCTATCCGCAGCAACCAGAACTCCAATTTTGCTAGCGATTCTGGAAATCCCCTCCGAATTCCAACATGCAAGAGGAAGATCGTGTATCTTCACCCATATTGGAACAGTAGCAAAGTCTTCTCTTTTCAGAATGAATTTTGGATGCCATTTTTGGAGAACAAAAGGTTTCCCCAAAATGAACCAAGCTCCCCTCGACCATATCGATTCGAAATCATCAGAGCAGGAGAAACGTAATAGAAAAAAGCCATCGTTAAGAGATAAGAGCTGAACTGAACCTTTCATGCTCCAGGTCCTTTTAACTGCCGCTAACAAGGCTTCATAGTAAGGTCGCCTTCCGATGGAGTAACCCACCAGACAAAGCTTCCAATCTTCACCTCCAGAAGACAGCTTCTCCCCAGAGAAAGGGATGATGTCCGGTTCAGAGGGGAAATGAGAGAACTTAAGGGGATTTGGGGAAGTTTTTACCGGCTCGAACACTTTATTCCAACTCTTAGTAATCGCGCAGACCTGACCGCCAGGAGGAACAAGCGGAGGAAACTCTGACTCAGAGAGGGCAGCATCCATGTGAAGAGGAGATGAAGTTCCCTCCGGCATCGCCGGAGGAAAGAAGGCGAGTGAAAAGCAGAAGCATAAGGCAGGGAAGAGCAGGGAAGAAACCAAACCCTAGCCGCCTCCCACCTTAACCAGTGCAGTTCTTTTTAACTTTGGTTTTGCAGTGAACATGACGGTTGAGAGCTATATTGAAATATACATAAAATTATACTGTGGTCATTTAAAAACAAAACGGCACATTATCATAAAATAAAGGAAAAAGAGTTGATATAAGAATATCCATGGCGGCAAAAAATAGTTTGCTAATTTTTTCCCATTTTAAAATAATTTATTTATTTGTTTTAGGGGTAGTTTGTTGATTAAGTGATCCTTCTTTTATAGGTAATGACTATTATTGAGTTTTTAAAACCAACTAAAGGAAAGAGGTGCCATGGCAGGGGCTGTGGACCATTTAGAGGTGGCTTTGATAGTAATCTCTCAACCTACCAATCCGCCCCTTCAATTGAAGATCCAACACAGTTTCGAACTCTTTTGTTATAAGGATCAGGTTTGTGTTTGAGTTTTTGACCGTTTGTAGAATTGTGTCGAGTTTGAGTTAATCAGGGAACGTGATCATGTCTAGCTGCGTTGCCTCAGCTCAGTCGTTCACTCATCAGGCTAGCTGTCAACATCTAGTCTCGTCGTGTCAGTTTATAGTGTGAGTTTTTTTTTTTTATAATTTATATTTATAAATTATATTTAAATATGTAACATAAATTAGTAATAATTTATATTAAAAAGACATTGAAAATGTTGAAATATGTGAGGTTCATGATGAGATATTCTAATTATGATTGAATGAGTTTAAACTAATTTAAAAATTTTCAATTTCAATAAATAATGGGATTAGAGTTAATTTCATCAAAAGGGTTATACATATAATTTTGTTTTATAATAATAAATAATAAAAATATTTACTCATCCAAATATTGATGATCAAATTTCTCTTGCAATTTATACCATGCATTTAAAGGAAACAAAAACAATGGCCAGCCCCAATGTCGGTCGCCCTAATGATAACCACAGCCGTACGAGAGCAGCGAGAAGCGCTCCTATATAAACCTTTGGGCACAAAACCAAACCCTGCTTAGGGTTCTATCAATTTCTTTCAACGCCGCAACCGCAAAATCTGTAGTTTTTTTCTTTGTATCAGACAATCTTCTCCGCAAGATGAAGATTCTACCTGTTCGGCGTAGATGAATCAAATCAAATAAAACTTCTCACAGCTCCATTGCATCCCGTCTACATGGCGACGGCGAACCCTTTCGATCTCCTCGGGGATGACGACAACGACGACCCGTCTCAATTGATCGCTTCGCACCAGCAGAAGCTTTCTGTCAAGAAGCCCGCCCCATCGGTTTCGGCATCTGCTGCCCCTTCGGCAAAGCTTCCTTCGAAGCCCCTTTCTCCAGCACAGGCAGGTGAGTAATAATGATCTACGTCTCGACAACAAAACCTAGAAGAAGTTATCTTTAAATGCTGGTTTTTTGTTGTTTTCGTCTTGTAGTTAGAGAATCGAGGAATAGCAACACAGCGCCGGTGCGCGGTGGTACTGGCCGAGGGGGAAGTGTTCGAGGTGCTGGCTTCGTACAAAATAGGTATTTGGGGGGCCGGAGTACCAATGGATATTCTGTCGGTGTTCCTGCTGAAGATGGCGATGCTAGCAAGGCTTTGGAAAGGGATCGAGGAAGCTACGGATCACCTCGGGAGGCCTTTCGAGGTGGGAGGAATGGAGTGGTCGTTAATGGAAACGCAGAGGAGAGATTTGATCCAGGTCGTCCTCCAAGAAGAGTTTATGAGCGTAGAAGTGGAACTGGGCGAGGGTTTGATGTGAAAAGAGACGGCGCTGGACGTGGCAACTGGGGTACTGCGACTGATGACTTCATCGCACAGTTAAGATCTTTTTTCTTTCTTATGCTTGGACTTTATTGTTGTGAGGTTTTGTGGAGTCTTTGATGCTGCAAATTGGGCTGATTTATTGGGTTTTTGGAGTAGGGAGACGGAGAAAGGTGGCAACCTAAATGAGAAAGATATAGCTTCTGAGAAACTGGTGCAGAAAGAGGGCCAAACAATAGATGCAAGCAAGGATGAAAGAGATGCATCAAATGAAGCAGAAGATAAAAAACAGGAAGATAATGTTTGTCCTTAAATGTCTTTATTTCCTTTTTTGCTATTTGCATAATATTGCTATTTATACTAGAATTCTGGCTAATATAGAACTCCAATTTACTTGAATTTCCTTATATGTCTTTATACTGATATTGATGTTGGAGATATGTGATCAGCTCCCAATTTTTCCTTTAAAACTAATAATTAGCATTCTATTTAACAATCTGCTGTAAACGTTAATTGAATTTTTTATTGAGAACTTTTTCTTGTTTAAATTTATTTGTACCTATAGATGTTAGGCGCAAATTTTGAATTGGCTTAGCTATTACTATTTGTACTATTCTCTTGATAGTATTTTGGACCATTCTATGCTGATCCAACAATAGGAATCCTACAAAGTAAATTTTTTGTTTGTCATTTTAACTATGCTAGTGGACGAGAACATTTTCCTAAAACTTGACAGAAAGAGCAATTACACAAGAAGCCATATAGGAGGACAAGAAGTTGTCTTTGAAGATATTACTAGATTTTTGAAATTGTACTACTGTGAGTTCAGTAGGAGGAAAGTAAGGATTAATGTTAATTTCGGTGTTAGTGATGTTGCTATTATCACTTATGATCATGTTTTGGGGTTATGCTTTCCATAACTTTTATATTTAGTTGCTGATGTTGAGTGTAGTTGGCCCTATTGCCATACCTAACTTCAAGCATAGGTGACGGATGGGGAATGCATTTAGCTTAAGTGCAGGCTTGGAGAGCAATGGTTAATTTGGCTTGATTCTTTATGTAGAAATTCTTGTAAATATTCTTTTTTGATACTGAAGTGAGTTTTAGCTTATGAAAATTAGAGGTCATTTTTTTCCATTAGGGCAATACTAATAATTTTTTTAAAAGATTTTACAAACTGTATAACAAGAGCTTTGTTAGAGAGCTTTTGTAAATTTTAGTTGTTTGAGAAGTTTTAGAATTTTCAAAATTGGTAAAAATCCTTTTCAAGGAGAAAATTTTCTTTCCCTTGGGGGTTTTGCATGGGTATAATTTACAATTTCCTTTGTAGTCGTATATGTTCAATGTTGACGTGTGCTTAAAATTACGTGTTGTACAAAATCCTACAACTGATAATGTCATGTTAGAATCTACTGTAGTTACAATATTTTTATTCATAATGTCATTTAGGAAATCATCTTTCTAGGACAAGTTGTACACTTGTACTTATATCTGATGGCCGTTCCAAAGGGGTCTTGCATCATTCTTGTGTGCAATTGACCAGTTTCCCCCGGCCTATATGCATTTTTGAGTGGCTGCATCATAATATTACTTGTTCATGGAAGTATATATTAGAACAGAAATTTGGAAAGCTGCCATATATAATACAGCCTCACATCTTATTTGCATATAAAAGGCCTTGGAATTAATTGCTTTCTCTGGGAATGCAATACTTTCAGATGATGCCTTACTGAATGGAATTGTTCATCGTGCAACTAATGGGACCTTTACTTCATCACTTTTATGCCCTTATTTTATTTATTTCTTTTTGGTTTGATAATACGCTTAAACCCTTTTAAAAGTGCTTATGTGATAGGAAGTTTGCTATTTGACGTTTGTAATCTGCCATTTTTTAAGGTAATCTAAACTACTTGTGCATGTATTAAGGCCCTTACTACTCATGTTTTGCATCAAAGACTCCACAAAACCTCGGTCGAGAGATCTTAATAACTCTGTATGATTGTGTATTGTACTTAATTCCTTTGTCTATTGAACTGCCAACTCATCAACAGTTTTTTTTTTGTTGGGACAGTGTAGCATAACTCTTTCAAGCATAACATCAAAATTTGTTATTTGTGGATTCTAGTTAACACATTGATGTTGACTTGGATGCTCAGGGATCTCGCTTATGCTATTGGACAAAAGATATTTCCTTCCATTTATTAATTTATAGTTTTTAAAGAAATATTTGATTTTATGTCCCATAAAACTCGAATTTGGAGAATTATGCAATTTTTTTGTTTCTTAGAAAAATATGCCCGAAATTATCCTTCAGATCAAAATACCCTTACTTTTAAACAAACATGCATAACCTTTGCTGAGCATTGTAGCTTCACAACTCTTCGTCTCCCAAGTTCTTTTTTCTATTTCTGGTGTGCGTGTTTGGGTTGCGATGATTTTTCATGGCAATGGTCCATCTCCCTTGATTATCATATTTTCAAGCACATTTATCATACAAATAGCTTTATTTAGTTAGTTGATTTAGGAGAGGGTGGAATTATGAGCAGAAGGAGGCGGTTTTACTATAAACCCTAAACCCTGTTGCATTATAAAGCTTTAATGCCTTTAGATATCATATTATTTATTAGAAACATCTTCAGAATAATGATTGGTCATATTCATATTCCTATTATAAGGTTTATGATAAATCATATTGGAAGATGCTTAAAATAATGATTAACTCTTGGCAAGAAGCTTGTAGATAGAGGAGCAAAGGAGGAAGGAGGAGATTGAGGTAAATGAGGCTGTGCATGCTATTGATATAGCAATTGTGATTCATAGGGTGAAGGAGAAGGGGTAGGAGGTTGAGGATGAGGAGGTGGGGGGCATGGGGGATGCAACCCTATCTTTTCCATAGTGCCTCTAGATATGGAGACTAAGAAGGCAGATGATGAAACCCTACCTCTTGTCATGGTGCCTCTAGATATGGAGGCCAAGAAGGTAAGGGATATAACCTCATCTCTTGCTATAGTATCTCTAGAAATGGAGGTTGAGAATTTAGGCGGTGTTACCCCATCTATAAGATTGATGGGCAATTAGTAGAGAATAAACATAAGTTATGTAAAGATTGTATATAAAATTGATGGGCAATTAGTAGGGAATAAACATAAGTTATGTAAGAGCAAGAGATATTTGATTTAGGATTTCACTAACCTATCTGGGAAGAAGCACTAAGTTGATCCACTCGGCATCAATTGATTGAAGTAGTTATCTACTTTCAAGTCTTGGATATTAGGTGAGGTTATCAACTCTAAGAAGTTAGGGGCGGGCATTGGAGTTGTAGAGTGGTTTCAACAGTTGAATATTTAAACATCATAGTTAGGCAGTAAAGTGAGAATAAATTTTTTTTTTTCATTGAAAGTTTGAGAAATTAATTCATTACAATGACTTCAATTTTTATTTTATTTTAGCATATTGATTTTTTATGATTCTTAATAAGGGAGAGGATATAGAGCTATCCAAAGATATATGGACCAGATATTATATTGTTTCATGAACTATTTGATCAGTGATGCAAAACAACTGTCGTAATGTATAATAAGTCAAGGAGGAAGGACTCTTTCAAGTGGCCTGAAGATATCTTCTTGTATGCTATTGGAGATGACAAATTCCTGGAGTCATTGCATAATGCAGAGTTCATATACTTTCCAATGAACTTTATTTCACTTCATTGGATAGTATATGAGATCTTAATGTCTACAAAGACTAATAAGTTTAATGATTGTGACCCTTCTTGCATCTAGACACAAACTTTGCAGGCCATGTTAATTTCTTTCTGCAAATGCTTCCCTAGGTCACTTGAACGGTCAGACCTAGTTGATGACAGACAGAATACTTGCCTCTAGATCTCCTTGGATTTGGACGAGGGTAACCACATGAGGTTTCCAAAGCTAATTTTATGAAATGTGATCATAATTAAAATAATTCTAGCATATATAAATTGATTAGTTATTTGCATCTTATTTGCAATTGAGAATGTGGAGTATATGCAATACAACACTTCATCTTGATTTCAAAGTAGAATATATTATAAGTTGCATCTGATCTCATATAATTCTATATGGATTGTTTATATGTAGATTTATTTCACAGAAATATTGATGCATAGGTTCATTAGACCATCATGTTTTACATTACATTTGATGCATTATAACAGTTGTGTTTTATTTAATGTGTAAATTTATTCTTTTTATAAAACACATTACATACATTAATTCTTTTATTAAATTAGTGAATGCTGTAATATGGGTGATGTAGATGAATATGTAGTTCATTTTATAGAAAATGGACGGTGTAAAGCGACTGAATTTATAATTTAGTTCATAGGATTGGTATGTTATATATTTTGTGATTGTATTGTCTTAGAAGAACCTTATTCGATCCTATTTGTTGATGATTGCATTGTTGTCTGTATTGTTGTTAATAGTGCTTAATATGTTACTGCAACATATTTATTTTATAAGAACTTTGTTCAAATTTGTTTGAACAACTAATCAAATCTATCTTTGATCATTCATTAATCATGTCAAACTAATAAGCTTTACCTGTTATTTGAATTTATTCGAACTAATGCTCAAACCTATGTAGCCTATCTCATGTAGTGAGATAAAGGCTTGTTGTTGTCATAATGATTAAACCTATATTCTATCCTTCATCGTTCTTGTCAAACAATTTGTGAAGATGTGAAGGCTTGATTTAGTATTTTAATAAATTTCAAGTATTTTATAAATTTCATTGAGAATATTTTTTAAGCATCTTATTCGAATATTTAAAATAATAATCGTACATATCTTCAACCCTTCATTGATCATGTCAAACTATATTCGAAGATGTGTCCAAAAATGGTCGACAAAGTGTTCCTGTAATTTTCAACTATTTTAATAAATTTAAGAGCATCATATTAGCTGTGTTCAAATTTTATTCAACGCTTATTTAACACGTATTCAAAACAACATTGTTACTCTACGATTAAAAGTGAGGGTTGATCCAAAAGGAATTTTTGGACATATTTTCCCTTAAAACAAAACAACCGGCATGTTTTTTGCAAATTTATAAATCAAGGGCTATATAAACTCAAATTTCCCTTCCTAAATCTGCCACCACATTCATCATTTACATCTTTCAAATTTAATTCAGTCTTTACTAGTAGGTCCCTGTGTTAATTGTTTGTGTTATGACTGTGAACAGGAGATGACTCTGGAAGAGTATGAGAAAGTAAGGGAGGAGAAAAGAAAAGCCCTACTGTCAATGAAGGTTGCTGAGAGAAAAGTTCAATTTGATGAGTTTAAGGATATGCAACAACTTTCTATCAAGAAAGGAAATGATGATGTTTTTATCAAACTGGTAATACTCACATAACTCTTTGTTTCCTACACTTATCCATTTATTTCATGACCCTTATTTTGTAAAACTAATTCTCACAGGGTTCTGATAAAGACTTGTCTAAAAGAAAGGAAAATACTGAAAAAGAAGAACGTGCTAAAAAGGTATTTTACTATTTTTTTTGCTTCTCTTGATTTTTTTCCCCTGGGAAAATGGAGAATCATATTGTTTCAATTATATCCTGGAGCTCAACCAAAACAAACAAGAACAACATCATAAAATAAAAGAAGGGATTTTTACTTACATGACACGAAAAACTATTGAAAATACATATTTAACACCTAAATTTCTATATTTATTAATATATCATCTAAAATCTCTTTTTTTCTTCTATTCTATGAGTCCATTGAAGCGACTACATACTTGTATTCATTGTGAAAGGATGCCATTGTCTGGAAAGATAGTCGTTGATAGTGATTTTTGACAGAAGGTTTAAACGGAATGTTAGAATTGATTAAAAGAGGGATTTTAGGCAGTATATTAGTAAATATAGAAATTTAGGTGTTAAATATATTTTTTTTAATAGTTTTAGGTGTTATGTATGTAAAAATCTCATAAAAGAAAGAGAAACAAAATAATATTCTCAATTAGGCTTCGTTTGGGATGACTTTCTTACTACTTCTTGAAACATTTTTTTGTACTAAAAAGTTTTTTTAAGCACTAAGAAAGTCATCCCAAATGAAGTCTTGGGACAGCTTTCTCATTGCTTTCTATAACGGTTTTTTAGCATAAAAAATTCTAATTCAAATTTTTTTTTCATTTTTTCCATTTCAAAGTGATTTATTCCGTATTTTTCTCGGCATTGTTTGTTGATTCTCAGTGATTCTTCTTCTCCAGGCCATAACTATTAATGAGTTTTTAAAACCGACTGAAGGAGACAGGCGCTACAGCCCAGCTGGTTTTGGCCGTGGGAGAGGCCGCGGAGCATTCAGAGGTGGCTATGTTAGTAACAATCTCTCTTCAGCTTCCCAAGCCGCCCCTTTAATTGAAGATCCAACGCAGTTTCCAACTCTTGGTGGGAAGTAAAACTTATACATGTTGAATAAATCTTTTATCTATGTTTTCTTCCACTTCCATGTTTTCTTCCACTTCCATTTTAACGTGCTTGTGGGCATTTATAAACAAATAATCAGGTACTGTATTTGTAAAATATTTTTTTTCTTTAAGTTTTGACTGTAATGGCCTTTGTTGATAAGTCTATTTAATTGGTTTTACTGTGCATGGGGTTCATGAGTTTGTTGGGGCTCCTCCATTGAAGCTTTTAGAAGATGAAATTTGCTTGTCTTTATTGAATTCATTGCCTTGCCTTTGCTTGTATTCCTGTGTTTTGAGGTAAAAATTATTCTGTACGGATGCCGAACGATCATTTGGAGATCGACTAGAATGCATTATGTTACTCTTGCTCGGTACCGCGGCTTGATACTGTTCGGTATTGGGCTTAGTACCGCTGACGTGATTGCACTTGATTTGCCTCTGGCATAGAGCTGTGCCCGGCGTCTGCATAGAACAATTTTCCATTTTGAGTGTTTTTGATCAGTTAATTGGTATCATAAATTGTTTGCGTAGATAAAAAATTGAACTAATTATGTTTTGCTTGAGATCGTTTTTAAGTATTATTTTTTCACTATTTTAAGAAATTTTTGTATTAAAAAATTATTTAATAATAGTAAGAAAATAGTTTCAAATAAGCATCATTTGGGATGATTTTTTTATTATTTTTTAAATTAGTTTTTTAGTATTAATAAATTTCAAAGTAAAATTTTATGCTAAAAAATTGTTTTAGAAAGCATTAAGAAAGTCGCTCAAATAAGGCTTCATTTGAGATGGCTTTTAAACATTGTTTTATTACTTAGGTTTTGTTTGGAATAATTTTTTATCATTAATTTTTTTGCTACTTTTAAGATATTTTTGTTCTAAAAAGTTGTAGAAAATAATAATAAAATTATTTCAAATGAAAATTTAAGCTTTATTTGGGATAATTTTTTTATTATATTTAAAATATTTTTTTAGTAAAATTTTATGAATGAGAAATTGTTATACTAAAAAGCTTCTTATATCCAGAAGCTGTCCCAAATGAAGTTATAGGTTTCGTTTGTAACAGCTTTTTTATTGCTTCTAAAATAATTTTATATTAAAAATCAAAAAGCATGAACACATATTTCCCCTCTCCTTTTTTTGTGAATTTTCCCCCTTTTTATTTCTCTTATTTTTCATTCATTTTTTTCTTTTCCTTTTTTTTTATGTATATATATATTTAATCAATAATGATAGACTAATTAATAAATTTGGCTACTGAAAATTCTATACTAACCAACCATGCTGATTCCTGCTAATGACAAAAGGAAAAAATAAAGATAATCCAAAACAAAATAAATAAAAGAAAAAGAAACTTACTGAACAAACAAAAAAGAAAGATTTTTTTTTTTTTAATGTTGGGGCTATTTGGGGAACAATTATTACGTCCTCTGATCGGACGTAGAGCTACGTTCGGCCGCCAATAACATGTCGCCACGTGCTCATTTTCAATATAAGGCACCCGACAGTCGTTGAGCCAATCATCACCCATCCTACTACGTAGTCGATGTTTTACAATCTTCATTGCAGAAAATGCTCTTTCCACTGTAGCGGTAGCAACTGGTAAAGTCAATGCTAAAATAATGAGTCTATAAACCAGCGGATACACATCATCCTTCTTGAACTTAACAATTTGCTTTGAAAGATCGGCAATACTGTTTAGAGAGGAGAACTCAGCACTGGTACGCATATCAATAATATAAGTTGATAATTGACTTTTAAGAGCCACAAGATCAAATGTAGAAAAATCATTTGGATATAACTCAGCTAAACGTATCAATTTCCTCTCATCATAAGCTTGGAAGGTATCAGTTGGATTTAAGCATGCCACACAAAGAAGCAATTCAGTGCTAGATTCAGAAAAACGATTATTTATCTCTTGAAGTTGCATGTCAACTACAGTATAGAATAGCTCAACACGATAATGATATAAGTTTGTTATTTCTTCACCTCTTCGTACTGTTCGACGACGTGTTTTGTATGTTTCATTCATCTTTGGAACAGTAACTTCAAAAACACTACAAAAATGAGAAACTTCATCTTTGGAACAGTAACTTCAAAAACCTTGCTTTAGAAGAAATCTAACACAGTCAACGACAGCAGACAATAGGATCTGGTATTCTTTTTTATTCTTATCATCTTTACTGAGCCATAAAGTAGGAACACTCTGTAATTTAAGATTTATTAAATCTTCACTTTTCTGTCTTGCTTTGTTGTGAAAATTTCAATGCAAAGAAATCGTTGTTGCAGCCCTCAAACAGTGAAACCCGATAGAGCTTTAAATGCAATTGCAAGCAAATCTGTGTAATAGGATTTAATTATTTAAAGTTCTCAAAATCTATTTTATAAAAAAAAAAAATTATTATGAGCAAATATCAGGGAAAAACAACTATTTTTTCAAGCCATTCTTCTTCCAACACAAACTGCACAATGTTTAACCTAAAGGATCGTCTAGAGAAAATTGATTACACGAACAACCATATTAGCCAGATAATCAGGCGAAACACATTCTATGCAAGGGAAAAAAAACCAGTTTTTCTTACTGCCCTAACGCAGAGCTCGGACATTGAAATGAACAACAAACAAATTTAAACACTTGCTTTACTCAGACAGATCAAAAGGTAAATAAAGATAGAATGGCCGAATGGGGGAAACCAGAGAAAAACAAATTCCCTTCTGAACTTTCAATGAGAAAAAAAAAAACGCATTTCCAGATTTCCTGCTTCAACCGTTCGACGTTCAACGCCTCTTGCTTGCGGTTACACCTGACCATGCCTCTTCCATCTCATGAAAATATGATTTTAGTTCAGTTATGCAAAAGATTTTGAGATTACCTCAGGTCCTCTAGCTCAAACGGCTTCTTCTTCACGATCGCCAAAAGCGGAAGAACAACGATATTGGGGCTGGCGGCTCAAGCTGCTCCGATCTTTTTTTTTTGGGGGCGAAATAGGGCAAAATAGGCTGTTGGGAAGAAAATGTCTAAACTACCCTTGAGTTTAAAAAAATTTGAGGGTGGGCAATTGCCCACCCTCACGATAGCATAGGTCGGCTTCTTCTCCACGATCGCCAAAAGCGGAAGAACAGCGATATTGGGGCTGGCGGCTCAAGCTGCTCCGATCTTTTTTTTTTGGGGGCGAAATAGGGCAAAATAGGCTGTTGGGAAGAAAATGCCTAAACTACCCTTGATTTTAAAAAAAATTGAGGGTTTGCCCACCCTCACGGTAGCATAGGTCCGCCCCTGCAGTGGGCAGATCATCGGATTTTATATGGCTGAATTGTGATGGGAGCTGCCGAGGATGAACCGCCGAATCGATTTAGGGATGGAGGCAGAGTTGGGCTGATCTCGACGGGATCGGCTTGTGATGGCGATGGTGCCGTCTAATCTGGAGACCGCGGGGATCTATAAGGCGAACGACGGCAGATGTTCTTGGCGGCTGCGGGAGCGACAAGGCGGATTACGCTGATGCCGGAGATAGATTTGGCGAATGACGACGACGACGGTTAAGTGTCACTTTTTATTTAAATTTCTTGGGTTATGGCATCTCCAACCGAAAATCTTATTTTTCACTCCAAAATACAGTGAAATCAAAAAGTGTCCTGATTCATCTCCAATCAAACGTCATTTTGCCCCCTAACCGCTCGTCAAGGATTTAAAAAAACGCACGTGCGAGAACCCAAAAAACAGCGGGTCGGGTCGGCGACTTTTCTTCATGCTACGTGGCGCTAAAATATTGGTGGCCGAACGTAGAGGAGCGTACGTTCACTGGACCGAATAAAAGTTCCTGTTTGGGGGCAATGGGCCTTGATCGGGGCAAATTATTACGACCGGTGACCGGACGGACATCCAATCCAGACGCGTCACGTCACCAAAATACACTGAGACCCGGTGTATTTGGGTGACGTGGCGCGTCTGAATTGGTGTCCAGACGAATATGGACACCGGATGTAATAATTTGCCAAACGATTTCCGAGAGTGCCAAAGCAGTTTCGACAGGATGTGGATTTGAACAAATGATTTTGACTTAATTTTTTTTTATATATAAATCAGCAAATGATAATAAAAATATATCACTATTATTCATTTGATCATTTCAGAATGTGACTAGAAGAGTATAATTTTGAGCTTCGACTCGTGCATTTTCTCTGCTTTTTTTTTTGTCTTGGAAAACACGCCGATCTTTAGCGCGACTTTAGTTGATCAAATCAACAGTCTTTTTTGGGTATTGACGACGTTCTGGATGCAACGGTGAAGTCTGTTTTGCAATCGGATGTAAACATCAATTCCCTCGATTTGTGTGTCGTTGCCTCAGGATCCATGTGTTTCGTCGGGCGTTACCAATAGAGCAAGTTTATAGTGATTTTTGGATATCGGCATGTTATGAACACAACGGCGAAATCCGTTTTACGATTGGACGTCATTTGGGCGACGTCGCACGTCAATTTCGAGTGTCGGTCGTCCTTTTGAACCGATCTTGTCCGATTTGACTGCGATGAGTCCTCTCTTAGGCGAACTCATGGTCCTGATTGCAACAGCACAATCCATTTGGCAATCTGAGATCGTTTGACCCTTCAAGTAATGCATCGCATCGACGCGCACATTGCTTCATTCACCGATTTTGTCCCTTTTGGGCGTGGTTTGATGTGTAGAGGTCAACATTATCATAGCAAGACAACTTACATAGATAAATTTGATGATAAGATGAAGAAAATGAGTGTGATTCCAGTTAAGAATGCTAAATTTATGATGAATATAAAGCATAAAATGGACACCAATTGATTAGCCATCCTAATATAAGCTATATATATTTTACACTCCAATAAATACTACATAGCATTAGAATATATTACACCCAAAAAAAATTTAAAAATATTTCTCTACAGTCCCACACATTATTTGAATCACTCTGATAGATGAAATAGTTGCCATGATGCTATTATTCCAGGTGATCTGATGGTCTTTACGCACTCCTTTTTTACTACATTAATGGGGATTTAAGTTCTTTGTTCTATGAAACAATCACCCTCCAGTATCCTGAGTACCTGCATTTTACAATTTTTTTCTCAGAAAAATTTCACTGGCATTTTCTGTTTTGCAATTTCTAGATTATATGTTCTACAATCTGCGATTTACTTGCCTGAGACATACGGGGCCTAGCATGTGGATTTCTATTGATGCATAGAGATGCAACATGCAACATACAAAGTGCCTCTTGCTCAGAGTAATTGTTTCTGAGATCTGGATCTATTAGATCTTTGATGGCATATTTGTCCAATAATGGCCGAATCTGAACTCAAAAATGGGATAAAAATTGGAAGTTACTTTCTGATTTTGTAGAAAAAATCTAAACAAGAGAAGCATGTTCTGTGCGGACATCACTACTACGAGCAATTATTCTGTGCGGACATCGGATGGTTCTCCTGTCCGGCTACGTGCTCGGTACCTAGCGGTATTGAACGGTACCGAGCTCAGTACATTTTTGGGGTGACATGATGCATTTTTATTGGTCTCCGAACGAATCCAGACGCCGCACGTAATAATTTTTCCACTACTACTTAATAGTTTTCAGTAATTTCTGTATGGTGTAAAATGCATGTAACTTGTGTATAGGAGTACTAACCCATTCGGTGAGACGATGCTGACCCTTTGGTCTTTTAATATCCATAGCTCTTCTGCCAGTTAAAAGCTCCAGAAGTACCACTCCGAAGGAATATACATCAGCTTTTTCAGTAATGTGGACATTCTGAGTGTATTCTGGTGCCATATACCTGGATATGACTGAGTGAGAAAATTATAACTACTTAAATTTATCAAGAAGGTAACAGTAATGGTAATCCAGGCTTTACCCAAAGGAGCCAATAACTTGTGTTTCCTCATCAAGACCTCCATCGGGTTTCCTTCTTGCCAGGCCAAAGTCTCCAACCTTGGAAAACAAAATGTTGGCCTTGTTGCATGAGTCATCAACTTTTGCAAAAGCAACTTCAGAACATATAACATCTATCATGACAGAAAACCGATTGTGGCCTTTCAAGTTTCAAACCTAATTTCTGATGTCACCAATATAAAAATGGCAAAAAAGAAAAACTATTTTTATTTTTATTTTTATTTTCTGTTGGGGGTAAGGCAAATCATCATCAATATCTAGAGAAGAGCTGGGCAAGAACACAATAATCAATTTATCATTATGTTTCTTCATCTCAGTTACAGCAATAGAGAAGATATGTTAGTCTTCATAGATTACCCGAGCACAATCTCATATTTAGATGCAAGAAGTTTCAAGCACAACATCAATGTTGAGAATCATACCTTCTTTGGAAAACAATGGGGGGGGGAGAGAGAGAGAGAGAGAGAGAGAGAGAGAGAGAGAGAGAGAGAGAGAGACTTATGGAGGAGGTTTTGGCTACCTTGGGGTCAAGTTTGAGGAGAGATTGGAAATCTTAGAAATTTCTAGAGTTAGACAGAGGAAGAATAGTGTAGAGAGGAGAGAAAATGGAGCATAAAATCTAATGTAGTACCCAAAGTCACAACTCATATGGGTCATCAAGAAATTAAAAAGTGTGCATGTAGTGCCGATCAAGTTGCAAAACCTTTTTAATTTAGTTGAACCATCTAGTATTAATTAAGTTGGGTGTTGATCAAGGGCCAAACAAAGGCAAGCATAAGTTGCGAGTTAATCCCTTCAGCCTAGGCTTTTTGTTTTGCTCGGGTTTATCCATCTGATTTAGCTAATGACAACTATAGCAACAAAGCTGGGTCAAAATCAATTTTCTAAAAAAATGACAACATTATTACACATATTACTTAAGTAACTTGCATAATACACAGAAAAAGAAAATAAATTAGACAATCAAACAAAAATTCTTTCAAGCTTAATAGGCTCTCATAATAAGCTTACCAGTGCTTCGAAATCATGTGTAATTAGAATGTTATTTGGTCTCATGTCTTGGTGGATTATGCAACCAACTCTGCACTCTTCATGAAGGTACTTCAGTCCGCGAGCAGTACCAACCGCAATTTTTCGCCTCGTAGCCCATTCCAATGTTCTTTGATTAAAACCTAGAGCAAAGTTATCAAGTGAAAAGTAATTTACATAATCTTAGCATAGTAGTAAACAAAGACCAAATCTTGTTAGTTACATATAATTTTTCTCTAAAGAGCAATGTATAAATCATACTATAAGGGGATTCTGCCTGTCTTTCCTGTAAGCAATTTCACCCTCTTGTATGTTCAGCAGAAGTAAATCCTCATCAGTATGACACTAACATGAAATATAGATCTTCCTTCCATTTAGCAAGTCAACTTTCATAAAAAATATCTTTACTTTGATTCATATTCCAAATCAATCCTAAGCAAGATATTGAATAAAACAAACACCTTTAACAATAAAGCAGCAACAAAAACAACAACAACATCAAGCCTTTATCCCATTACGTGGGGTCGGATACATGAATTCTCTATTGTGTCCTATTAAAAGTCAAATTATCGTTTAAATCTAATAAAGAAAGATCATTTCTAATGTTTTATAACCAAGTTTTTTTAGGTCTGCCTCTACCTTTCTTAATATAAGTCAAATCTAATACATCTACTTTCCTAACCGGTTCATCGGAAGGCTGCTGTTTTATGTGTCCCATCTAAGGCGACTCTCTCTAATCTTATCTTCTACATGAGCTACTCAAACCTTTTCACGTATATGCTCATTTCGTATCCTATCTCTAAGGGTAGATCCACTCATCTCTAAGGGTAAACACCTTTATCAATACTAATATTAAAACCAAAAAAAAAAAAAGCTTTCTGAGAGGAAATCTGATCAATCCCTTTGGAACATACAGTCTAAACCATCGAGATTTTCAAAATATCTAGTTCGGTGCTTACTGTCTAACATGCATGAATTTCCTCCCATATAGCCTAATGAAATCAACCTAATATTGTCAAAAAACATATATAATTACCATGTAAATGGAAATTCAGAGATCCGTTGCATACATATTCATAAACCAACAACCTTCTATCACTCTCCACACAGAAACCGATTAGCTTCACGACATTACGGTGCTGAGCACAGCTTAGAACTTCCACTTCTGACCAGAACTCAGTATCTCCTTGAGAACTAGCCAGCTTGTGTTGCTTAACTGCAACCACATGTCCATCAGGTAAGACACCTCTGTGCACAAAGCCAAATCCACCCTCAGCCAAAAAGTTATCTCGAGAAAATCCTCCCGTTGCAAGACTCAACTCAGCATAACTGAATGATTTGGGAGGCTTCCCAATTACAGTTGCCTTGTGTTTACAAATTGAACATAAAGGAGGAGGTCCTAAAGATGTATTTCTTGATATTTCAATATCTTCTCCAAGATCTGCTGTATGGTCTACATTATGTATTCCAGCTTCTATGTCAAGTTTGCAGAACTTATACATCAAAGCTCTTTGCATGTAATAGTCCTCTCTATTAAATTTTAGTGAGAGTTCCTTTGTCTTCATCAATCTTTTATCAGTATCATGGCGAAGTTCCATCAATGCATAAAGCCACAATGTTGTTAAAGGACTTTGGCGTTTACAGACAGATTCAGAGCTACTTACAGTAGGACAACCATCATCCAACTTCACTTTAGATAAAAGACATGGTGAGCTTGCTTCAGAGATTGTTCCGACAGTATTAGTTAATTGCTTCATAACTCGCCCTTCAGTACTGTTTTTATGATCTGGAGTAAGCTTTAGCATCCTTGTAGAAGGTTTATCTAACACGGAAGGCAATGGATAAAACGCATGGGGCTTTCTCTCAGCTTCCCGCAGTAGATCAAAGCGAAGAATCTCTGGCTGATTTTGCTTCATAATCACAATGTTGCATTGAAGCTCTTCCATGCATTTCTTCTCCTCGTACTCGAGCTGTCTATACACCAATGGTGTTGATGATGAAAAGAAAAGACTATGAACATAAAATAAGGAAAACAGAGAAGATCCCAACTTGTTTTGATAGCTAAAATTCTAAAGAAACAAACAAGTTTGGCAAAATCTAATGAAGAAATGCTTAATGATTACTTGTCCAACACTACCCAGGTTGCTTGAACTCTTCTGGATTCAGCTGCAATTGCTCCACAATGTGATCCGGAAATGATCTTTATCTTAATTTTCGTCTACAGGAAAATGAAAGATGAAGGCATACAAGTTAGAAAAGATGATGATAGAAAAGGAATTTAGCGATATGTTGATGAACAAACCTTGCTCGGATCATATATACTGCGCAGTTGAAATATCATATGGGAACATAAATCAGCTAAATCATACTTGAAGCTGGAAGTAGTAACAGAGGTCTTTGACTCCTTGCATCCGCTAGTACAATCTCCCGATAAGCGGGGAAAACTCCATTGTTTTCTGCCTGATTGTGAAGATGAACACGGAAAAAAATTTAGTTTTTAAAACATAGGAACCGTTTGGGATAACATCTATTTATTTTTGGTTTTTATTTTATTTTATTTGTATTTTAACATAAAATAATATTTATTTAGTGCCTTTAAAATATTTTTTTTATTTTAATTAAATATCAAATACGTTAATTTATACGAGGTAGGAGAGTGATGGCAGCCGACGAGGTGATGACATAGATGGTGATCGATGGTGTTAGTTTTGTGTGAATCAATCAACCAGCTTGTATTGTTGACCTAATATTTAATTATGTCAATCAAGCTAGTCGCGGGGGGGTGGGGACAGAACGGAGCACCATAGTGCTCCAAACCCTTCCATTGCGATGCTACAACTCAAGTTGGAGATATGAACTTTTATTTGGTCCGGTGAACAGACGTAGAGCTACGTTCGGCCGGCGCTGAGATCGCGCCACGTAGCATGCACAAAATCACATATTTGTTGGAGACAAAACTTTTATTTGGAGATATGAACTTTTATTTGGTCCGATGAACAGACGTAGAGCTACGTTCGGCCGGCACTGAGATCGCGCCACGTAGCATGCACAAAATCACATATTTGTCGATTTTGGTCGGCAATAACGAGAAATACCATTATGTGAAGACAAATACTGAGCAATACCGAGCAATATCGAGTAATACCGAGCAATACAGAGAAATACCGAGTTTTTTTTAGAAAAACTCGGTATTACTCGGTATTGGTCTTCACAGAGCAGTATTTCTCGTTATTGCCAAGCAATACCGAACAAATACCGAGTAACTTAGTAGTGACCGCACGTAGAGCTACGTCCGGTCACCGTACGTAATAATTGTTCTGGAGATAGAGAGTTGAGTGCTATGACAATCCAAACCTGGAGCCATGGCAACGAGTTGGGCTAGACAGTTTTCTTTCTTGTTTTTTATGTTTAACTTTAAAGGTTAAGTCGCTTGGGGTAGATTTTTTGAGTGTTTCATTATTAGTACTGTGTAGAACAGTGCAAGAGTAATGAGAGATAGGGGAGAGAGAGAGAGAGAGAGAGAGAGAGAGAGAGAGAGAGAGATTTGTACAACTTCTCCCAATTTTCAAAATTTTCACATTAAATCCTAATATTCTTTCTTTTCATATATATATATATATTTGTGTTTGTTGCATGATTTTATTCCCAACAACCACTGATGGAAGTCACTAGTGGGGGTGACGACAGTGGTCACAGGTACTGGTGCCAGTCGGCTAGTTGTAGTTGTTCTTAAAAACATTCAAAATAACTTTAAGTGTTCTAAAAAATAATTTAATTTATTAAAAAAAACAAAATAAATATATTTTTAAAAAAATAGAATTGATCCCAAATAAATCTTAATTAATTCATAAATTGAAGGCCATAGGCACAATATTTCAGATGTTTTTCCATGCAGCATAAAAATTATCCGATAAAATGAGAGCAAGTCTCTGCAATATTCATCAGCAGAGCTTCATATAACTATGAAGTACCAAGGAAGCATGTCGATTTGTTGCTTCTCTTCCTATGTGGAATATTAGCAATTGCAAGGTTAAATAACTTTTTTTTTTAGTTGAATGGCATATATGCACAAAAACATATAATTCATGTCTTAACCATCAAAGAAAATGAACTGTTTAAACTTCTCATAATCATAGATGATGAGAACAAAAGCTTTCAACAAAAAAAAAGAACATATTAAGGGGCTGTTTGGTAGCTGGATTTAGGTCGGATTTGTGAGAAATCCAGCCAAACGGCCTAAAGTGCAAAGCCAAATCTCACGACAAATGAAAGCCGCAATAGACGGAAAATTCGGCCTTTTCCTGGTAAATCCAGGATTTCCAAAATCCTGTTTTTTGTAGGATTTACAAAATCCATTGCCCGAAAGGAAGAGTCCGCTCATTAAATTGGCTCTACATCCAAACAATTACATGGTATTTAATAGGATTAATCATGAATGTTACCAAACAAATTTCAAGATTTAGGTCCCTCAGGATTTTCAAAATTCAAATTTAGAAGATTTACAAAATCTACTTGAATCAAATCCTGGTTGCTACCAAAACATAAAAAATAACAAGTCATGGCTTCTCTGAAAGATACATATATATGTGATTAACAAAAGAACAGAACTCCAAAACTATATGAAACTCAGTAGCAATCAAATCAAACAAATGCAAGAAATAAAGCATATGCGTAGAAGAATCACAAGAAAAACACCTGAACTGTGTGGAAAAACCACAAGAAGCAAAGTTATTCGATCACCGGGCTGAACAACATGGGTTAAAGCCCATTCCAACGCAGCTCTTGGCACTTCCTTGGAAGCCTTAACGGCTACCACAACCCTCTCTTTCTGGCAAAACTCGTCATCTATTTTCCCCCTCTTCTGCTGCAGAACTGAGGTCATTCCTTAATCCCTCAGCTCAAAGAAAACTTCCTTTCTTCGAACAATAAAGGAAGGTAGAATGCTCAATTCCAGCAACAAGAACGCTCTGCAAGATTCAACTGCTGTTGAATCCAAACCAACTGAAATTGGAAGAGAAGAGAAGAGACGAAAAACATACCGGTTTAGTTCTCTCTCGCCTTCTTCTTCCTACCTCCCCGCGCAAGAACAAAATTGAAAGAGCGAGCTCTCTTTCTCCATTGTAGTATTGGAGGAAGATATATAACTATTAGGGGGAATTTACTTACAAAAGATTGAATTATATATATGTAAATTAATATTAGTAATGATATTTTAGATGTTATATAAATAAATATAATAATTTAGGTATTATATATGTAAATAAAAATAATATGTATAGAAATCCTTCTAAAATTTATCAATAACATTACTTCTCTTAGTTTTATTTTATGTAATATGAATAATACTTGAATGTTATAAATAATTTTTATTAATTTGCTAAAATTTTTGTAAGTGAATTCAATTTGAGTATTTAATTAGAATTTGTCATGCTTAAATTTTAATAAAAAATGTTAAATATTATGTAAGTTTAATAAAAGTATAAGTATAAACACATATTTTTATATAATTTTAATTTAATTGATTACATATGTGTTAAAAAATTTTTCATTCTATTTTATTTATTAAAATAAGCTTAAATAAATTATTTAATTATTATTATTATTTAAATTTATACATTCATGCATACTTATTTTTAATAAATTTCTTTTATTTTAGGTGAATTCAAAAGTGTATATATATATATATAAGTTTCAATGCAAATTTCCAGAAGGTATATTGAGTTTTGATTAAGACATTACCTAGAGATTTCACCCTCATTTTATGAGGACTTATAATCCGAGTTCAGGTTTTCTATAGCCGCAAGCCCCTATAATTAATTATCCATCCCAATAACTAGAGAGAGCTTTAAATTAAGGCTAGTCGTTAAACATATACATAGTATCCGGCGTATAGGAGCAGCATAATTTTAATTTTTGAGAGTTAATATTTAAGATTGAAAATTTCGTCATCTTGCACTTAAAGTGGATGGCAGGGGAAGTGATGATGGACCCCATCAAGATTCCATGGTTTTGTCGTCCCAGCTTATCAAAGTCCCTAGTCTACTTAGTCAGAAGTGGTAGTCGACCCAACCTGACAGAAGGATCCTTATCAGCAGCCATAGGTTACTTCGTCCAAGGGTGCCTTATAGACCTAAGGTGAATATTTGTCCAAGGGGATAAATTTGAATCCACTTTAGATAACAAAGGGATTTGTGCCTTAGTCAAGCGATGACTAACATATTTCGAGTTTCCATGTCCACTAAAGGGTTCGTTGCTATTAATTCTTTACTTAATGATTTGAAGCCATTGAAGAACATAGATGCTCTGATCACGATCGTAATTTAATGATGTCATTTGGTGGCAAAACCACCCAGCAAGAGGACCCGACCTGGTCATAACCGTTTACCTGCAGTGCAATTAAATTTTATTTGCATGTGGATTCCGTGCTTTTATACAATGCATGAAGCGCGCATTTGTATAATGGCATAGCATGTTGTCGCTACGTGATGCATTTTGCATGTTGAATGCATGACATGCTTTGTATTTTCAACATGCACTGAATGGTGGACAATGTTGAATCCATGACATTTTTATTCTTTAACAATCATCTTATGGTTGTAAACAATTATATGGATGTATTTTATAGCAATTTCATTTTATTTAAATATGGATATATGTGTGTATAAGTAGTGATAGTTATTTTTTGGGTTATATAGACTTGTTTATTAATATTTCTTGGCAATTCTTTTTTGGGTTGTGTTCATTACATTGTGTGCTAGAAAACTTATGTCAAAAGAGAGTTTTACATCTTAATTGTGTATGTAACTCTCTCTCTCATATAAGAAGTATAAAAAACATCAAAAGTGAATGGAGGGCAATGAAAGTTGTGCAACGATGTACAAGCAATAGCAGTCAAGCGATGATGGCTAGATGATAGTAGACAATCAATGACGGTTGGGCGGTAGTGTCAAACTAAGATGGATAAATTACAAAGATCGGCCTATATATGATGTTCATATGATGTTACTTACTACTGGTGGTTATCGATAGTGTTGAGTATCAAACAAGTCTTCTAAGATCTCTTTCACATGAAGATTATGTGCCTATTTAAATTTTTATGGAATAAAATTTTGATAATTTAAAACAAAACCTAAAATACTCTATTGAATGACTTTTTCTTTTTATCATAGACTATTCTTTTAGTATTTAATTCGCTCAATCAAATAACAAAGTTGACTGATGTAAACCTTACACAAGGCTTTGCTTGGGACTATTTTCTTACAGCTTCTTAAAATAGTTTTTTACTACAAAAATTATATTAAAAAATTGCTTTAAAAAATAGTAATAAAGCCGTCCCAAATGAAGCCTATGACTAACGCTAATAAACATTAGCTGGTCCGTGAGATTAATTAATGGCAATATCTGATGCACGTACTGAGGTAAGAGTGCACGTATAGCAAGCTGCATGCACATGCAAAAGTCAGCCTCGTCTTCTTCTTCTTTTACGTGCCTTTCGATTAGATATTGATTTTGCTCGCTGTCCTTAATTAATTTGTAATTAGACAATAAAATGGCCTACTTAATTATCCCATAAGAACTGATTAGAAGTTGGAGAACAAATATATTAATGCTTCTATGCTATCTGTTTCAGGCTTACACGTAATACTAATGGCTACTAAGGACAAAGGTGGAGCGCCATATTGTGTGCTTTGTTGTCTATTTTTGCCCAAAATTAATGAGCTCATGAAAGTGTTAAAATATTCAATTCATTAAGAAACTTATTAGAGATTTCATTTGGGATGATTTTCTTACTACTTTATAAAGTTGAGATAGAGAACGTAATTTTTTAAAGATGTTGTAGAAAATAGTTTCGTGAGAAATTTTTTTAAAGCAGCGAAAAAAGTAGTGGTCAAACATAAATTATAGTTACAAAGCCATAAGAAAGCTGATCCAAATGAAGCATAAATCATTCTGACGTTAGTGACAGATTTTCCTTATGAGATGAAGATAATGACATCGAACACCTCTTGCAGAGATGCATCAGACGACTGATTTCCTTTCCATGTGATTGTAACAACGACAACGTCGACGATGACAACAAACTAATAATAGCAATGTGGCAAGGTAAGGACCAAGAATTTGGTTAGTCAACCCTAAAAAAATTAATATTTTGTTCAAAATTATTACACTTTCAACATCATAGTTGTATGTCATCATTTTGAAAGTTACATTATGCATCACATATATATGATAATAATGTGGCTGTAATTAGAAGATGAGATCATTTCATATGTAATATCCCCTTAGAGTTGACTATGTTTTAAAATATTTGAGAAAAAAAAACAAAATAATATCATAAAAAAATTCAAATGATGTAATATGGATGACATTGATTACCAACTTGAATCAAAACAAATAGTGCTATTAGATGTTTGCAGCTGATCAAATGCTTTGTTTCAAAGTTTAAAATTATGAGAAGCTCCATAAAAGCAAAATAGATCCTCATAAATATTTTTTTTTTGAAAAAATAGTATTTAATATTATAATAAAAAATTTCACTTATTACGTACATGTCATTTAAAAATTTAATTAATCTAAAAAATAGCACAATTCTCAACCTCTTCATCACAATCCCATTACCCGCGACAAGGGAGAGGTCATTGATGTTGAAATCAACATTAGGTGTGTCAAAATCTTACCCAATCTTAAACCCGACCTAAATTTGACCCAAAAAAATTCAGGTTCGGGTCTACCCGTTTGGCATACGAGTCAGGTTCGAGTTTAAGATTTTGATCCGTTTTTATAAACGGGTTGGGTTCGGGCTGACCCACCAACCCAAAACTTCAACCTATTTGCCATATGTTCGTTGGTTCGCGTAGGGTATCTTCGTCTCGCATGCGGCAGCGGGCAGCCAGTACTTGCAGCAGGCTGGCCCTAACACCCGCTGACCTACGGTCAAGCTAGACCAACCGGTCCTTCGTGCCTTCGCGAACCTCTCCCGTGGGCCGTGGCGTGCCTTCGCATGCCTCGCCCAAGTCGCACCACAAGGAGCCACGCTGGATAGGTTGGCCTCGGTCCTATCGCGCGTCCGCTTGACTCGCACCACCACCACGTGGTTGCCTTAGACCTCACACCTGCGGTCAAGCCAGACCTACCGCGCGTCCACTCAAGTTGCAGGGTCGCACCACGTGCTGACCTCGACAGTGAACATTCATGTTCACATTTTAAGAACAGGTCGCGGGTCGGGTCAACCCGGTAACCCGCAAGGGTCGGGTCCGGGTTGCAAAACCTGACCTTTTGTGAAAACGGGTAGAGTTCGAGTTAACCCGTTTATGACCGGGTCAAGTCAGATTCGATCCAAACCCGACCTGTTGACTCGAATAGACACCCCTAATCGACACCAAGATGGCGAGGAACAGAGAAGGCCAGGAGTTATAGACTGAGAAGGAGATGATGAGGGCCTTATAGAAGGCCGATGGAATCGAAGATTAGATGACATAAGAGGTGCATTACAGATCTAATCATATTTCTTCATCGCTGGAAGCTTCTTCCAGAAAAAAAAAAATGATAAAGCAAGTCTAGAAAAAATTTTTTATTATAAAAAATAATTAAATACATTAATCTCTAAGCTCAGTTAGAGAAATTATTGATTGGTTGATTGAAAAAAAAAAAAAAAAACTCAATTTAGGATTGATACATGTCCAAAAAAAATCACTTGATCTACATAAATTTCAGGACAATATTTGAATTGAAAACTTATGTAATTAAATTAAGAATCATCCAAGCTCTAACTTAGACAAACTTATGGTCGAATTGAATTTATTGTCGAGACCAACCAATTGACATTACAAGTGATCGATGGATCAACAAGGATTGTATGATGAAGTGTTTTGAATTCTAGTCAAGTCAAATTTACTAAAATACCACTGTTAAAAGTCTATAAATAGGACTTCATTCTTTACATGAAAGGAAAGTTCAAAAGCTAAGATAGCTAAGAAATTCTATTGCATTCTTCGATGATTACCGTCGACAACCACCATCAGCAATCGCCTCCACCATTGCTAGAATTCCAATATCCAATTATTGTAACTTGACTATTAATTGCAACCCTATTGTCCACTTGTGAACATCTAATTTATATAATCTCAATAGATAATCTATTGCCAAAAAATTTCTAGCACCTAATGATGTGTTAGTCCCATTTGGATTCATTATAACTCTTAATGATGAAACTATAAATCTATAAAATGTGTTAACAAACATGATTAAGCCATTAATTATTTAAAGTAAATTTATTCTTGATTAATGAACTTAAATATGATTTAATCAAATTGGCAAAAAGAAGCCCATATGATGACCTAGACGTGGTCTTCTAGAATGCTCCAAATAAGCTAATTACAAAAAAAAAAAGATAATCATATTATAAAAAAGAACAAGACTCCCATGTAATTACATCTTAAAAAAATTTATAATCAAGCCTTAATTAAATGATCATATTATCAAGCTATCATCCAACTTCTTCGGGAGCTTTAAATGATATTATTCAATATCTTAAATGAATCGAACAACAAGCTATTCAAATTATCTATTTATCAATAAATGATCCCGACCCGATTAATTTTCAATTCGGATTTAAATCAATTTTAGTATTTTATTTGGGTTGACTCGAAAACTTAGAATTGGATATTATCATTATGGTACACGTTAAGCAAGTTAGTTTTATCTTAAATGAATCGTATATGATCTATACCAAACTCGACCCGTCAAATTGAATTGACACCCCAATGTGAGGAGCAATTATTACGTCAGGTCACCTGACGCGTTCAGAGACCAATAAACACGTGCCACGTCACCTAAAACTCGGTATTGCTCGGTATACATTCGGATTTTCGATTTTTTTGTCCGGACGTAATAATAAGCCCAATGTCAGAGCTTTTCATCATCTCCTGATCTGCTAATGTGGGCAGAATACTTGTAAGGTGCGGACCAACCCCTCTTTTGAGGGTGGACAAAATGGAATTGTAAATTGCATGATTGTATATATGAAATAGAAAATGAATTTTTTTCTTAGAATTTGAATAGCTGTATTTATTGAAGGTGGACAAAATAGTTAAAATATTTATTTTTCTAAAAAAAAAAATTTTTCAGGGCTGAGCTCTTTCTAGTTTCACCCCTGATAAATTAAATATGGCAACCAAAAAAATGCCTCATTATTTATGAGAGACTCTCATTCAATTGATGAGGTTATTCCTACTGCAAGCAAGTATCTTCATTTCCTTCAGCCGGTCAAAATTGTTAAGAAGGGCCACTATGAGCTACATGGAGGAATTGTTTTATATTTATAAAAGAATTAATTTCAATTAGTTTAATAATTTAATCTAACGGTCCATAAACATTAGGTGATTTATTTATCTTCAATAAATTTTAATTAATTATCATAACACCATATCTTTCAATTTCAAACCCCTATGATTTAGGTTTCGTTTGGGATAGCTTTCATACAGCTTTCTAGATCAACTTTTTAGTATTAAAAAAATTTCTCTAAAAAATTGCTTTAAAAAAGCAGTCAATCACAAATGAAACCTTAGGCTTCATTTGTAATAGCTTCTTACAAATGAAACCATAGGCTTCATTTGTAATAGCTTTCTTGTTATTTTCTTAAGCAATTTTTTAGTATAAAATTTTCTAATTCAAAAAAATATTTGTACTAAAAAATTGCTTTGAAGACAAAAAGAAGCCTTAGGTTTTGTTTATGATGATTTTTTTAATGATTCTTAAAGCAAATCTTTAATAAAAAATTTAAAAAATTACTTTAAATGTATTAGAAAGCCATCCCAAAAGAAGCCTTAGTTACCCTTTTGTCTCTTCTAAAGCAAGAAAAATTTAAGAAAGTAAAAAAAATTATAAAAAAAGTAAAATTTAAGAAAGTAGACTAAGAATTATGTACAGCTTACTATACCATGAGAATTCTAACTATTAAATAGAGGTATTTCGACTGTATCGAGCAATTATTACGTCAGGTCGACCTGACCTGACGCATCGAAAAACCAATAATCACATGCCACGTCATATGATACTCGATATACGTCCTGATTTTCAATTTTTTGTCTGGACGTAATAATTAATCGTCTAAAGAACCAGCCTTTGCTTTTACTAATAAAAACAAATGTTCCCTGATTTAAATAAAAAAAAGTTTTGGTGCGATTTTTTTTTCTTTTTGTTTGCCTTAGTCATCTAATTTGAAGTGCCAACACAATCATAAGTTAATAAAGTAAAATATGATTATTTTTTTTATAAAATATTATTTGACAATATCAATGAATGAAATAGTTGATAATGACTTGTTTGTATTTTTCATATGATGCTGAGCTTTGCTAGGGTTAGGGTTTTTCGTTGTCCTCTCTTTTATCCTTTCTCGTGTAATGACGATTAGACGATAATATAATGCGACATCAATCGGGCTATGATAGTCTAACGATCGCAATCTGATAATGATAATTAGATGATGATGCATGAATTATGACGATCAAATCATAATACTTCGACAACAATGTTCGGTAAATGGCTGTTGCATGACAACAACCAAGCAATGGAAGTGATTAAAGATAGTTGTTGACTTCAAACATCTTGTAGAGATAAAATTCTTCAAATCTCCAAACTCAATCCAAATTCAAATCATGGTGTTTTTCATATGAAAAATGAAAGCCTATTCATAATATTTTGATAAATTCACTCAAATTTTCAGTCCATACTAACTCCTTTGATCATTAGCAGTTCAATTAGCATTTATCATGACCTCAAAATCTGATAATCTTGGACTAATTGAATTCTTCTGATCATACCACTTCATTTCACTACCAACTTGGAAGACCATTTGATCCTCTAATTGCTTAATTTGAGTTCATTTGAACTCGAACCAGATTATTTTTAATATCATTATATTTATCTTATCAAGACACTCAATTCAACTATCAATTTACTGAAATCAAAATTTGAAATAATTCAAAAAAAAAAAAATCTAATATTAAATATTACATTATGATTTGTGTTAATAAAGTGATATTTATTAAGACCTATCAACAATAACTAAAAGTAATCCTATTACTATGTCATCAACTACTTACACAATTCTACATATACAGTTCACCAAACTAATGACCAAGAATCAGTAAGACAGATCATCATAGCTATGACCCTTTTTCTTTTATTGTCGAAGATGCAAGATCTGCACCAAAAAAATCTAGAGCCCAAGAACTAACATGTTGAACTATGTACAAACTCGGTATGGTAGGAGAGATTATTCTGTGCGGAGAACGGACGCAGAATGCCGTCTGGAGACCAATCAGAATACGCCATGTCAGCGGTACCGAGCAGTACCAAGCCGCAGTACCGAGCACACGGTAACGTGGCGCATTCTGATTGGCCTCCGGACGGCGTTTGACGTCCGCACAGATTAATTAATCCTGGTATAAAAGTAATACAATAATCCTAATTCTTTAGAGTCAAAGAAAGAAAACAAAAACTTATCAAGATTGCCATGATGATGAAGCATGGCTCTTCCCTTCTTCTGTAATTGCCTTTATGGATATCTCTTCTCGGGCTGGAACTTTAAGCCATGACTTCATGGCATCATAAACTGTGAATCCAATGGCTACGGAGGGGACAACCTAGCAAGTTTTTCACAATAACAACGCAGAAGAGGTAATAATTATAGTCCTATTAAGAAGATAAGATGATATAAATTGCAAATTTAAGATTATAATCACCTTCAGAAAATTGATACTCAATCCAGAAAATAGTTGCCTCCATCCTTGGTTTTGAACAATCATTACAAGTGTTTCAAAGGTTCCTTTGGCAGTTCCTTCACTGGATGTTGAGAGTGAATGCACCTGAAGGTTATTTACTCATCTTACTAAAGCTTGCTCTTCATTTTCTCAAGCTTTACAACAACAAAAACATCAAGCCTTTATCTCATTACGTGGGGTCGGCTACATGAATCCTTTTCCTCCATTGTGTCCTATTCAAAGCCAAATTCTCATTTAAATCTAATAAAGAAAGGTCATTCCTAATATTTTCTAATCAAGTCTTTTTAAGTCTGCCTCTATCTTTCTTAACATAAGTCAAATCTAATGCTTCTACTCTCCTAACCGGGTCATCGAAAGGCCGCCGTTTTAAGTGACCAAACCATCTAAGGCAACTATCTCTAATCTTATCTTCTACTGAAGCTACTCCAACCTTTTCACGTAATTTCTCAAGCTTTACAGAACATATAATTTAAGAAAGGCAGAGGAAGGTAACTAGGTAAGGTACCTACCTGCATTTGTCTTCTGACAACATCTAGAGGATAAGTAATAGTTTGGCCAAACAAGCCAGCAACGGAGCCACAAGCAAGCTTAACAACAATGTGGTTCTTGCGCTCCTCGGGGACATGAGATTTCATCTCCTCGTAGAAATAGAACTTGAGGCCAGAATATGGGAAGATCCCGTATAAGGATGGACCTGTTAAATTTGGGGGAAAAGGATTAGGATAAAAATTTAGCAAGTTGACTTAATGATAAATTCAGCAATTTGTAGAATACTGCCGTTTTGTAGATTTTGTCCGGACAATCAAGAATTTTGTTTGGGGCAGTTTATAGTTTTATCCATTTGTTACTATGATTTTGTTTGTGATGATTTTTTTACTGATTTTTAAGAATTTTTTTAATACAAAAATTAAAATTTTTTATAAAAAATTACTTTAAGAAGCAGCAAGAAAGTCTTCCCAAACGAAGCCTAAAATCTATTTTCTCAACCACACTTTCTACTATATTTTTTCTCATAAACAGCTTTTCTAAGGCAAACTTTCAAAAAAAATGGTAAAAGAAGCTGTCAACCACATAGTCGTTCTCCTCTATATTGTTTCATTTTTTTCTTTCGTTCGAGGACTTCCATTGGCTTTTTAATCGCTGGATTTCGGTTAAAACTTGCTGCTAAAGGTTGTGGATGTTTGAGCAACTGGAAGTTTATTTTAACTATTCTGCTACTTTACTTTCCCGTTTCACTATTTCACTATTAAAGACTGTTGCCTAACTCCATTATTTGTGTCGTTGACGCTGAATGCCATCCGGAGACCATCTAGAATGCGCCACATCACCCCTTCGCTCGAAACCGTGGCTCGGTACTGCTCAATACCGCTCGGTACTGCTGATGTGACGCATTATGATTGATCTCCAAATAACGTTCTGCATCCGGCTTCCGCACAGAATAATTTCTCCTTTATGTTGGCCGATGATCAGGTTAAATTATCTATAAGAAGTTTTTTTTTTTTTCATCCCTGTGCCCTTCAAATATTCTGCAGGGATATCTTGTGTCTTCAAGAAGATTAATTTATGCAAGTGTCACCTAGTATCATGTTGGATCCTGTGCCATTCAAAAATATATAACCTGTGGTTACCTTCACTACCATTAGACGGAGCTTGTGATTACATTAGCGTTACCTCTATTCTTCTTATTCTTTCTTAACAATTTTGTAACTCCTGAAGTCCATTCCACTCTTTGTATTCATAACTGTAATTATGATGTACTGTTACATTTATTATTAATAGAACTTCCTCAATTTTCTGAAAAAAAAAAAAGAAGTAAAAAGCTGTCCCAAAACAGGTCATGCAGGTTTTTTTACGAAATTCATGCAGAACATGGCGGTGAAATTTGATTATTAAAAGGCCCGTATAAAATAAAAGAGGATTAGAAATCTAGATAAAAGAAATTGCAAGAAGAATAACTCACCAACACCTCGATAGAGACCTTTTATGCCATTTTTTCTGTATATCTTTGTCATACAATCACGAATTCCATGATAAACCTGACCACTAGAAATTAATCCTGTAAATTTCATCTTGGATGATTCAATAACCTGAAAAACAATTTCAGTGGGTATCTCAGAAAGAAAAGTGACATAAAAGAAGAATTGAGCAAAATTGGCTTGGGAGATCCTAATGTATTTGTTTGTCAAATGGCTCAATATCATAGATTTGAGTTTGATGCAGTAAGATTAATTTCTAAAATAATTCCTGACAATTTATGTGTGGCCAATTTAATCCCACAATATCGCATTTCTTCAATTTAATCCCTCAACTATACAAAATAGATCAACAATGATCACTCGTATAAGATATTTTATACAAAATTGATCCCAATTTAGTCTCTCGACTATACAAAATTGATTCAAATTTAGCGGTTGATGTACTTAGTTGCATAAATATAATACTTTGAAACTAAATTGACCCCATACAAATAGGGAAAAGCTATTTTGGAGTTTCCGAAACTTTAATTGATTCATCATGTAGTGCACTCATCTCAAAATAAAGCATACAGATCCAAAATTGACTAGATATGATGACCCATATCCTTTATAAGAAGAATTACAAAAAAAAGTCAGCCATCAACAAGAGAATATTGTACAACTAAAAGAAAGATCAAGAATTACTTTACAATGTTTACCTGATAAGCAAGTTTAGTGCGGACTAAATCAAGAGGATAAGTGCAGAGCACTGCAGTTCCACCAGCAATGGAACCTGAAACTAGGTCAAGCACAGGTCCCCTATTAATATCAGGAAAACCAAGAATGATCCAACGACGGTATTGTTCATAAGCCATATAATGCAATGCTGCATAAGGCACAATACGAGCAACACTAGCTCCATTTCCCCTGAAAGTACGAGAAAAGAAGATTATCAGCAATAAGAGTTTTTGGGCAAGCTTAATATAATAGAGAACTAAAAAATAAGTCAGACCGGTAAAATCCAAGAACTCCTTCAGTTCGAATAATCTTTTGGAAAGATCCAAACAAACCGATACCCTGAAAATCAGCTCTTCGAGTCTGCCAACCACAACAAAGAAAAAACTAAAAAGAAAATATTACAAAAAGATAAGAAACAGAGACATTTCAAACAAAAATCACACTCAATAATAGTAGTAAAACATAAAGCTTAATCTGAGCACTGGTTTCTGCAATTCTGCCCTTATAATTACAGCTTCCACATTAATCAGATCGCAAACCTGCTTTAATCATTGACTAATACGTGAATAAACTATTCATCATACTTTAAACGATGCTTATTTGCTAATCATAATAATTAGCCTTGTTTGGCTCAAAATAATTAGCCTTATTTGGCGTAATTACATTTTGATTGTTGAATAATGAGTATATTATCGATTTGTGGTTTGGACCTGCTTTCTTCACATTGCAATCTGGTCCATGACTTGTATAATCAAGTTTGGTTTCTGTCATTCCATGCTCATCATTTGGTCCATTTTCAAGATTTCAATAACTAGCCATTGTTAAGGGCAAACACCAGTGTGACTTCAAGAGAAATATTCCATTTTTTACTAAAAAGTACATTTGGTCCTTGTTCACCTCATTTTTAGCTTAGGTCATTGAAATCTCAAATCCTGAAACCAACTTCAAGCCAACACTATATCATTATAGTGTTACATGTCTTCATCAAGCAGTAGGAACCCAGCCCTTAGTTTCCTATCTTGGTCTGTTAATCATATACTCAAGCCTATTCAATCATATATCCAAATCCTCATGCTTAGTCTAGATTAGTCTAGGATCATGCCTGAGCCTGTCTAGATAACCCAAGACCTTAGGCCCAATCCTAGTTGACTATGTTTGACCATAGGATAACGACATGCCTAAGACACCATGCCTTGAGCTGGGCGACGTCTAAGTGATCTAGACCTAGCCATTGAATCTTAAGCTTCCTAAAGTATATCTAAATATTTCTAAACCATTCTGAACCCTGCAACAAACTTTCATTGACACAAGAACCAAACTAAAACCCTGATCCACATCCTACCTACCTAGTAGACTGCTTCTTGCATGAGATTGGCATGTTGACTTCATACCCTACTTGAACTCTTACCCTAGGAGCTTCATACATTGAACTCATCAACCCTAGTTCCCCAAGCTAGGGGTTGACCCAATCAACCTACTTGGGCTAGGTCAAACTAGCTCAATAGATCAAACCCTTGCATTGACCGCCTATAGCCTTCTTCAATCCACTTAATCTCATTCAATCAAACTTATGAAAGCTCCTAAAGTTTCATACTAATTTGGTCAACATTCTTGAGCTAAAGGTTGATTGGTCAATTTAACCCGGAACTAGTCAAATCAGCCTAGCCTTGATAAAACTCCTGCCTATAATAAATTAGCTTGCCCCCATTTCTCAAGATTAGTCCACTTGACCTCCTAAATACACCTAAGTCATGGCCTAACTCATGGTGAATTGACCAAGTGAGCTCACATAAAATGGTCAACCCAAGTCAACCTTAGTGTCATGCTTGTAAACACTAAATCCATTGAAACTAAACTTTTAGACTTGATCCAAACTTTTAAAGCCTCCCTAGGGTCTATCCTAGGTGACTTGACCAACTTTGACCAATCAAACACCTAAATGGCCAAAGAATACTCAGTTGGTCAAACCTACATAAACACTCAAATTCTCTTCACACCAATTGTTAGAGTTCAATCCAATGGGTCTCTAGAATGCTCCTATACTCCCCTGAACCCAACCCATGGCTTGGCTTGGCGTAGACCTGACCCACCCATGTCATTTTTAGCCTTGTCGGCCACTCCCCAGCATCAGTCCCTGCTCCCTAAGCATCTACAACATGTGTAGACACCTCATGGAGTTCCCCTGATCGATCCTAGCCATCCACAACAAGCTCGAGAGTTGGAATAGGGCAAAAGAACTAAAACATTCATTTAGAGATAATTCCCCATCCAAAAGCTCTCATTTCATTTGAGTCTCCCATAGCTCCCTCTGCATTTCCCTAGTGAAACCCTGCCATTTGGAGGCTACCGGCAACCTATGATGCACCGACACTTCTCCTCAAAGAGGCGTGCAGTGTTCGACACCGTGTCCAACACGACACTCATCCGACACTCCTCCGACACGTGTCGGACACGTCGAAAATGTGTCCAATTAAAAAAAATATTAAAAATAAATTGGACATGCGTGTCCGACATGCATATCTTAAATATTTTATATATTTTTTAAAATATTTATATTTGGCGAGATTTAAACTAAATTTCTTATTTCATATCCACAACACCAAATCAACGTCTGCATTTAAATATATATATATATATATGTATTGCCGTGTCCGCGCCGTACCCCTGCCCTATATTTTCAAAAAAAGCCGTGTCCGTGTCGCCGTGTCTGTGTCCGTGCATCATAGCCGGCAACTAGAACCAAAAGACTCCAACTTCTTCATCCCAGCAACTTATACTCCGCACTTGGTGCTCCTCCAACAATGACTTCTTCAGCAAAGTGCTGCCTAGGAGCCAAGGAACAGAACCCAATTGAAAGCTAGCCCTAAAATCCTCTATATACAGGTAAAACCCAACCCTAGCCTGAACTCTAGGTCTTAGATTAGTTCACTCACCCCATTGTATGAAGCTTCCAAACTTCATACAATGGGAGATTAGGCATACAAAAGACTTTGTGAGAGATTACAAGCAGTCAAATCCATTGTGTAAAGACTAAAGAGTTTAAAGCAAAATTAAATTCCCAAGATCATGAAATGTATTCGTGCGATTTCAAGCACTCAATCCCAAGATACTTAGGGCAATCAGAAACAAATAATTCAATCCTTTTTCTTAATAGTGGTCTTAGGTCATTGTATTAATCGGCTGGCATTTAATAAATAAACAAATATGGAATATATATCAGAAAATCTGTCATACACCATCACAATCATTTTCCTTAATCACAATTACTTGCACTCGCTTTATAATCCTCATTCATTCTAATTAATGTTGCATGTGGTATTGATCAGGAGTTCTGTATTCAAGCAAAATGCATACCGTGAACTTGATAGGCCGGTTCACCCTGAACTGGCCCAGCTGGCCCTACAGGAGGCGGAAACAGTCTGCCTCCCCTATTCTTGTCCGCCCAAAAGGGTGGGCCCCACTTGTCTACTTGGATTCAATTTGAAAAGGAGGGGGCAGCTAGGGCTTGGGAGGGAAATTAAATTAGGAAAGCTTTTGTATTAAAGAGCATGAGAGGATTAGGGAGGATTATGCTTTGATTGATTGGAATTAGGGTTTCTTGACGACTTGGGCTCTAGACTCTCTTGTCTAGAGATTTGGGAGAGACGATCCTCCTCAAGAATTGAGGATCAATTGTATCTTGCTTTGAGTTTTGCTTTAAGTTTTGCTTTGCTTTAGGGTTGACGGGAAAAAGAGTGGAAGGGAAAATTACGAATTCTGAAATTCATAGGGAGGAAGATAAGGTGGAAATCATGGAAGGAGAAAGAAGAAGACCCCATCTAGAGCCTGTCTAAAGGGAAGAAAGAGGAGGTGGATCCATGGAACAACATGAGGGATCCTATGGCCACCGAGGTGCTGATTTTGAAGAAAGAAGGGGGAATTCGAAGAGGGTTTGGGCTATGGCAGAGCAAGGGAAGACCGGGAGATGTGGGGAGGGCCTAGCGCTTGGGAGAGGGGAAGCTATGGAAGAATAAGGGGGTATTGTGGCGATCAGAAGGTTAGGAAGTTGAAGATGCACATATTTGAAGGAGAAAATGAGTATGTGTGGATTTATAAGGTGGAGCGATACTTCGCCGTCAATGGGCTGATGGAGGAGGAGAATCTGACAGCGACTAGCTTGTGCTTGGAAGGAAAGGCTCTGTCTTGGTATCAGTGGAGGTACCAGAAGAGCCTATCAGGAACTGGAGGGAATTCAAGGATTGCATAATAGAACGTTTCCAAACCGACCGGGGAGGAGATTTCTATAAGCAGTTCTTTGCTCTGACGCAGGAGGAATCAGTGGCAGACTACCGGGAGCGATTTGAGCACCTAGCCAGTAGGGTGGAGCAATTATCAGATACGGTATTGGAGGAAATTTTCATGAAGGGATTGAAGGCGGAGATCCGAGCAGCAGTGAAGGTTCTGATGCCCGGGACTTGGGGGAGGCCATGAAGCTAGTTAAAAAAAAAGAAATATGGAGAGGGGAGCTATGAGTAGCAGCACAGGGGGCACTTACAGGATGATGACCACCCATCTAGAACCTAAAGATCCTGCAACAGGAGGGAGTTGGGAGGCCACTAAGGAGAAGACAACAAGAGGAGGGAGTGGGGGAAATTTCATGCGCCTGACATAAAAAGAGATGCACGAGAAGAGGGCTAAGGGGTTGTGCTTCAGGTGCAATGAAAAGTATATGCCAGGGCATCGGTGCAATGACCGAACGCTTCAGGTTCTCACTGTCTGTGATGATGAGTAAACTGAGGAATGAGATGAGGAGGAGATAGAGGATGAGATGGAGGAGAAGCTACATTTGAATCTGACCGAGGTTTCCCTGAACTCAGTGGTAGAATTCACTACGAATCATACCATGAAGGTGAAGGGGGAGATGATAGAGTACTGGGAGGTGGTGTTGCTGATTGATAGCTAAGCTACTCACAATTTCATTTCCACTCAGGTCGTCGACCAAATGGGAGTGAGATTGGTGGATATCGGTTGTTGCGGGGAGATGATGGGTACAAGGAAGGTGGAGAAAGGCCAGAGGATTTGCAAAGGAGTGCAACTGACTATCCAGGAGATTCAGGTGAGGAAAAATTTTCTTCCACTGGAGCTTGGGAGTACAGATGTCATCTTGGGGATGAAATGACTACAGACTTTGGGAGACATCAAAGTGAATTGGGAAGCATTCACGATGGAGTTGATGGTAGATGGAAGGAATGTGGTGATTAGGGGAGATGCAAGGCTATTAAAATCGATGGTTTCTCTTAAAACTATGGTAAGTGATATACAGTTGGCAGGTAGAGGATATTTGGTGGAGCTGAACAGTTTAGAGGGAGCGAGATTGGAAGAGGGGTGGGACATACCCCTCTCCA